TAGAAACACAAGTTAAGATAGGCAAGAAAATGGTTAGTGAGCACCTGTCCAGCCTAGATGAGTTCAAATCGCCAGGACCAGATGGATTACACCCCAGAGTTCTCAAGGAACTGGCAGATGTGATATCGGAGCCACTGAACTATATTTTTCAAAGATCCTGGAACACAGGGGAACTACCAGAGGACTGGAAAAGAGCTGATGTAGTTCCCATCCTCAAAAAAGGAAAAAAAATGGATCCAGGAAATTACAGACCTATCAGCCTGACCTCAATACCTGGGAAGATCCTGGAAAAGATAATCAAACAACGAATCAACGAACACCTAGAGGCAAACAAAGTCATTACTAAAAGCCAACATGGGTTTGTCAAAAATAGATCATGCCAGACAAATCTTATTGCATTCTTTGACCAAGTGACAAAATTAGTGGATCAGAAGAATGCTGTGGACATAATTTACTTGGACTTCAGTAAGGCATTTGATAAAGTAGATCACAACCTACTACTTGATAAGATAGAAAAATGTGGGGTAGACAGAATCACCACCAGATGGATCCGTAGCTGGCTGACCGGCCATACTCAGCGAGTGGTCCTCAATGGAACTGCATCTATATGGAGGGAAGTGTGTAGTGGGGTGCCCCAGGGCTCTGTTCTGGGCCCAGTACTCTTCAACATCTTCATCAACGATTTGGATGAAGGGATAGATGGGGAACTCATCAAATTTGCAGATGACACCAAGCTGGCAGGAATAGCCAACACTCCAGAAGACAGGCTTCAGATACAGAAGGATCTGGACAGACTTGAACACTGGGCACTAACTAACAAAATGAAATTCAATGGTGAAAAAAGCAAGGTTCTACATTTAGGCAAGAAAAACCAAATGCACAAGTACAGCATAGGTGGCACCATGCTCAATAGTAGTAACTGTGAGAGGGACCTCGGAGTCCTAGTAGACAATCACCTAAATATGAGCCAGCAGTGTGCTGCAGCTGCCAAAAAGGCCAACACAGTGCTAGGCTGCATTAACAGAGGGATAGAATCAAGATCACGTGAAGTATTAATACCACTCTTCAATGCCTTGGTAAGGCCACACTTGGAATACTGCATCCAGTTTTGGTCACCACGATGTAAAAAAGATGTTGAGACTCTAGAAAGAGTACAGAGAAGAGCAACAAAGATGATTAGGGGACTGGAGGCTAAAACATATAAGGAACGGTTGCTAGAATTGGGTATGTCTAGTTTAACGAAGAGAAGGACAAGGGGGGACATGATAGCAGTATTCCAATATCTCAGGGGCTGCCATAAAGAAGAGGGAATTAAGCTATTTTCCAAAGCACCTGAAGGCAGGACAAGAAGCAACGGGTGGAAACTAATCAAGGAGAGAAGCAACCTAGAACTAAGGAGAAACTTCCTGACAGTGAGAACAATTAATCAGTGGAACAGCCTGCCTCCAGAAGCAGTAAATGCTCCAACACTGGAAGTTTTTAAGAAGAGACTGGACAGCCATTTGTCCGAAATGGTGTAGGGTTTCCTGCCTGAGCAGGGGGTTGGACTAGATGACCTCCAAGGTCCCTTCCAACTTTACTACTATTACTATTACTTTGAGCTGGTCAGGATCGAATTCCTGGCAGGGGGCAGAGTTAGCCTGCAATACTGCATTGTAACAACTTCACCACGGCTAAAGTGGTACTAACCCTTGATCTTGATGCTATCCCTTTTGATGCAGCCTAGGACTTAATTGGCTGTTTTGGCAGCTGCAGCACCTGGCTAGCTCATCCTTAAGAAGTGGCCCACTGGGACAAAAAGGACAAGTCTAAAAAGTAGAAGGAGGGGCAGAACCTAGCCCGAACCTGCAAAAATTAAGTCAAGAAAACTAAGGCTCAGAATGATCTAAGACTTGCAACAAATGTCTAAAATAATTTTAAAAGCTCCTTTCAATATACAGAAAGCAAGACAACGGTCAAGGAAATGATTGGTCTATTAATGGGAAAAAATGGCAAGAAGGTGGCAAGCAGCAGGGAGGAAGCAGAACTGTTTAACCCATTCTTTGCACAAAAGGAAAAAACAATCCAACCTACCAAAAAACAATACCCTAAAACAGCGGTCCTCAACTTTTAACGCTCTGCCGACTGACAGGACAAGAAGCAATGGGTGGAAACTAATCAAGGAGAGAAGCAACCTAGAACTAAGGAGAAACTTCCTGACAGTTAGAACAATTAACCAGTGGAACAGCTTCCCTCCAGAAGTTATGGATGCTCCATCACTGGAGTTTTTTTAAGAGATTGGACAACCATTTGGTATAGGGTCTCCTCCTTGAGCAGGGGGTGGACTAGAAGACCTCCTTCCAATTGTTATTCTGTCGTTATTCCTGGCATTTGTTGCAAGGTCATTCTGAGCCTTAGCATTCCTGACGCCATCTTTTCTGATTCAGGCTATTTGCTGATATTCTGTTTTATTTGGGTCCCTCTTTCCATTTTTTATACTTACCCTTTTTGTCTCTATTTATAAAAGAATTATTTATGCCACCATGCTGGTTTCATCTGGGGTCTTTTTTTTTCTGTGGTAGTGTGTTAAATCTGGACTTTTATCATCTGATTTTGCAGTTTCCCAAGCATCTTGAGTCCCCCCCCCCACTTGGGATTGCCATCTATGGAATCCTTCCTAAACTCTATCAGTTTGTTAGACGTCTAAGACACTAGTTTGATTTTGTTCAATTACTTGCACCTGCATTATGTTGAATATGACACGGTCACTTTCCCCACAACCTCAACCCTCTCCCTATCTTTTCATCTCTGTTAATAAGAATTATAAGTCCAATACAGCTGACCCACTAGTTCCCTTCTCTACATTTTGGGAGACAAAGTTGTTTGCTAGATTTGTCAGGAATCTGTTTGAACTTCCACTAGGTGCAGAGTTTGCCTCCCAGTTGATGTCAGGGTAGTTAAAGTCCCCCATTACTACATACCTTAACCCTAACTGATTAGCAAGACGTTCATCTATTTCCCCTCCTTGGTTGGGTGGCCTGGGTGAGACATACCCATGGCGATGTCATTCTTTTTTCTCTTTATACTGACCCATGTGCATTCAAGGAGGCTTTCATCCTTGGTTTTGTAGATTTCTGTAGAGATGTAATGATTTCTTACATTTAATGCTACTCCACCTCCTCTTTTGTTCAGTCAGGTTTCTTTTGAACAATTTGAATCCTTCTAGCAGTATGTTTCAGTCATGCATTTAATCCCACCAAGTTTCGGCTCTTCGCTGTTTGTTCCTCATAGTTTTGAGCGTCAGTGTACAGGCATCTCAGTCTTTTACAGCGGCCCTCTGTTTGCTTCCTGCCTCTCCGGTTTTATGTCTGAGCTGCCCTTCCTTCCCTTTCCCTCATTGTTGGATGGGTTGTTTTGGAGTCTGTGCCTGGGATTAGTCTGAAGCTCTTCGGAGAGACCGAGCCGCTTGTGGCCCAGGCGCAGCCTTCCCGGTTCCCCTCTTGAAGCACCAGCAGAGACTCTTCTGATCAGTTTCTTTTATGGCCAAACTAAAGCAGACTAAAGGTAGACCCGGACTTACGACTGACCCCTGAAAAGGGAGTCCCAGAGTTATGGCAGCCGCAGCAGCCCCGTGGCCCTTGCTCTGTGCTCCAAGGGTGACGCAGGGTCAGGGTGGGGAGGCCCGTGGGGCTCTCCAGGGGCAGGAAGTGGCACATGGGGCGGAGGAGGCCCTGGGAATCCTCCTCCAGGCACTTTGTGCTTTGCTTAACGACCTGCACATTCATGTAACGACCCCACTGGGAACAGCAGGGGTGGGGGGAGGGAGGGTCCTCAGGCGATGATGCGGGATGCTTCGCTTAACAGCTGTCTGGACAGTGATGAGCAGAGGACTAAAGCGCCCCCAGGGAGGAGGAGCCCCCCCCAACACCCCCACTTCCTCCTGCAGGGTGAGGAGTTTCTGCTGCCCTTCCTGGCCCTCCCCGCTCCCGGCCGGGGGAGCCTTCCTCCCAGGCCTCAGGCCTCGCTCCCAGGGGAGGAGGGAGGAGGAAGGGGGCGCTGGGCAGCAGCCGCTTTATAAAACCCTAGTGAGGCCACACCTGGAATATGGCAGCCAATTTTGGTCACCATATCACAAAAAACGATGTTGAGAGTTTGGAAAAATGTTCAGAGAAGAGCAACTACATAAGATGATCCAAGGCCTGGAGACTAAAACATACAAAGAACGGCTGCGGGACTTGGGTTTGGCCAGTCTAAAGGAAAGAAGAAACAGGGGGGACATGATAGCAGTTATTCCAGTATCTGAGGGGCTGCCACAAGGAAGAGGAGGGGGTCACGTTATTCTCCAAAGCACCAGAGGGAAGGACGAGAAGCGACGGTTGGGAACTCATCAAGGACAGAAGCAACCTGGAATTAAGGGGAAACTTCCTGACAGGGAGGACAATCAACCAGGGGAACAGAAGTTGCCTCCAGAAACGGTGGGCGCTCCAACGCTGGAGGTTTCTATGAAGAGGCCGGACATCCACCTGTCTGAGACGGCCTGGGTCCTCCTGCTCGAGCGGGGGCGGGGCTGGACTAGAAGACCTCCAAGGTCCCTCCCAGCTTCTGCTCTGATTCTCTATTCTGTTCCTCCCGCTCCGGGCTTGGGGGGGGCCTGGGGGGGCGCGGGGCGGGGCTTCAACCCCCTTCCCCTTCGGCACTTCCCGCCCTGGGGCTTCTCCGCCGCCCGCTCCCTGCCGGCCCGTCTGGGGCTCCTTTTGTTTTGTTTTGCCCATCCCAAATTGTTCGCAGGTCCCCACAGACCCGTCACGTGCCTCAGATGCGCGCAAGCTGGGAAAGCGCGAGGAGCGCGCGTACACGTGTCAGGGACGGCGGCCGCTTCTTTCCGGGACACGCGTCTCACCCCGCGCGGCTGAGGAGATCCGGGGCGGGAGGGAGCGAAGAGGCCCCGCCCGGGGAGGGGCGGGACTCGCGCCGGGCGGCCCGAATCTCCCTCGCCCGCAGACCCCGCCCCTGTTTCCGCTTCCGCTCGCTCCGCCCCTAGCCTGCGCGCGCGCGCGCCTCTCTACGGAGCCTCGGCGGGAGCTCCGCGGCCAAGATGGCGGCGCCGGCGGCTGCTGCTGCAGCTGCTGCTATGGCTTCCGGCGGCGGCAGCAACGGGGCTGGCATGGAGGTGGACGCGGCGGGTAAGGCGGGATCCGGCGCGGGGGAGGGGCGGGGGGGGAGCGCGGCGACCTCCCCCCCTGACTGCGCGCCCTCTTTCACTCCCTCCCCTCCAGCGGCGCCGGCGGTGATGGCCTCGGGCGTGACGGGCAGCGTGTCGGTGGCGCTGCACCCGCTGGTCATCCTCAACATCAGCGACCACTGGATCCGGATGCGCTCGCAGGAGGGCCGCCCCGTCCAAGGTGAGCGGGGGGGGAGGCCGGGAGGGGGGAGTGAAGCCGAGGGGGAGGGGGAGGCCGGGAAGGGGGAGGGGGAGCTCCCCCACCTGAAGCCCCGACTTTCTCCAGTGATCGGAGCGTTGATCGGCTGCCAGGAGGGCCGCAACATCGAGGTGATGAACTCCTTCGAGCTGCTGTCGCACGCCGTGGAGGAGAACGTGGTGATCGACAAAGAGTACTACTACACCAAGGAGGAGCAGTGTAAGCCGGCTGGGTGGGTGGGCAGGCGGAGGAGGAGGAGGAGGAGGCCCGTCTGAGCTGCATTTCCCTCCCCCGCAGTTAAGCAAGTGTTCAAGGATCTGGAGTTCCTGGGCTGGTACACCACCGGCGGCCCCCCAGACCAGTCCGACATCCATGTCCACAAACAGGTGAGCGGGTCTGAGGGAGGCGGGGGGAACACCTGGCGCTGGCTCTCTGTGTCGGGCAGGACCCTGAGGCACCCTTCTCTACACAGGTTTGTGAGATCATTGAGAGCCCCCTCTTCCTCAAGCTGAACCCCATGACCAAGCACACGGACGTGAGTACTTTCTCCTCTGTCCTGCCCATCGGAACTCTTCAGCGGCTGCCTCTCCAAGTTAAGCCCGATGGTAAGCTGTGTGCACTCTCTCTTCCCTTAGCTGCCTGTCAGTGTCTTTGAGTCTGTGATTGACATCATCAATGGAGAGGTAATACCCGCTGCAACTTTCCCTTTCTGTGTTCCTGGCATTCTGGAGTTCTGGGAAGCCTCATTTCACACCTTATGTATCGTGAGCTGCTTTCCAGCTGGGGGACCCCAAGGGCGTTCTTGCGCAGCCTGACTACGTCGGCTTTTGTGCCGTCGCCTGGAACTCTTCTCAATTCTCTTTGTTTCAAGGCCACGATGTTATTTGCCGAGCTGACCTACACGCTGGCCACCGAGGAGGCTGAGCGCATCGGAGTCGATCATGTGGCACGGATGACAGCAACAGGCAGTGGGGAAAACTCCACAGGTGAGGGTTAGGGTGCTGAGAATGCCGGAATGAGCTTCCTGTCGCTATTGCTGAATGTGGACAGAGTTTGGCTGGGAGGGGTATAACTTACCACTAGTATCCTGGGGTGGACACAAACTGTTATTCTTCACTGCACTCCAGCCCTTTGGACCTTTCCTGCCTCGAGGCCTCTATTGGGAGCAGAGCTCTGACTTCTCCTTGTTTCTCCTTAATAGTCGCCGAGCACCTCATTGCGCAGCATAGTGCCATAAAGATGCTTCACAGCCGTGTGAAACTTATTTTGGAATATGTTAAAGCTTCCGAAGCAGGTGAGACGGAGCTGTAGAAATGCAACGGGCAAACCTAACGATGCCCCAGCTCTCGAGAGGGCAGTGTTGATCTCCCAATGCATTTCCTCTCCGTGCAGGTGAGGTACCGTTCAACCATGAGATCTTGCGAGAAGCCTACGCCCTTTGCCACTGCCTACCTGTATTGAGCACTGACAAATTCAAGACAGATTTTTATGATGTGAGTTCTCGGGAGAGGGGAAGAGCTGTACCTTACAGCAGACTAAATGCAGAATGGAGTTGTTGCGGGGGAAGAGGGGGCTCTTCTCCACACAGAAAAGCAGCTGTGCTCAAGGCAGGCACACACTGGAACGTGGGGGAGAAGCAGAACTCTGGCAGCCAGCCAAGGGAACGCAGGAGGGAGGCAAGAAGGATTCCCAAGTTTTCCTACAACAGATGGCACCAAAATCCCCTCACAGGAGTTTCAGGACTGTGAGCAGCACATGCCCTGACCTCTCCCTGCTTTCTGATGCCTATTTTGTCTCCTGCCCAGCAATGCAATGATGTCGGCCTCATGACTTATCTGGGCACCATCACCAAGACCTGCAACACCATGAACCAGTTTGTGAACAAGTTCAACATCCTCTACGACCGCCAGAGCATCGGGCGCCGCATGCGAGGACTCTTCTTCTAAGATTTGGTGTTCCCTATAATAAAGCGATTGTGCTGAATGAGATGTGCGTAGGAGTGCTCCAGGATCACCAGGGTTATTTCTTCCCGTTAAAAGGCCCATCAAGCCCAGTATGTCCCTTCCTCCCCCTCCCCCCAAAGCACAACCGGGAATAGTTTTGAGCAGGATGCTCTGGCTTGCACCTTTTGTATCCCACCTACGTGCCCAGTGCAGTTTAACAGTGAGGAAGAAACCAATGAACAAGAACAGAATGAGAGGCAGTTTGGAAATGGTACTCAGGGGTGGTTGTGAACTTTGGGTAATTCATCAGCAAGCTGAATCAGACAGCACTATGAAAGCGTTGTAAAAAAGGCAAGTTTAGGTTGCATAAAATTTAGTGTGACTTCCAAACTGCAGGAAATGTTTGTTGTAGTCTGCTGGGCTGCAGTCAGGCCACCAAACAGTAGGAATCAGAAGCTGGAGGAGCTTCAGAGGCAGCGATGATCAATGGATTAAAAACTGGCCCTTATGTAAAAGTGGAAGGAGTTGTGTTCTCTTTGTGGTAGTTTCCAATTAAATATTAGAAAAATCTTCCTACGTGCAAGAGTGGAACTAATTGCTCGAGTGTGTGTGTGTGTGTGTATGCATGCATGCGTGCTTTCCCTTCATTGGATGCCCTCAGTGGAGTCTGCACAGGTACCTGGCAATGTGCGCTGGGGCAGGATGGGCTTTGAATCCCTGAGATGCTTTTTCAGAAGGCAACTGGACTGTTATTTGAAGGCGTTTCACGCCTCATCCAAGAAACTTCTTCAGCTCTGATTGGATGGTGGGGAATGGAAAGATTTATACTCCTTTCAGTCAGCTGGTCATTTGCATCCTTCTTGCTTCTTAGATGAGAAGCAAAACATCTTTGAAGAAAGATAAGAAAGTCCAGTTGCCTCATGAAAAAGCATCTTTGGGATAACTATGATCTGGATGACTGAGAATCTCCATAGATGATTGGCTTTGAATCCTTTCCAATTCAATAATTTCACTGTATTTAACTTGAAAGCATTGTCTCCCTTCAGAAAGACTTGGGGAGGGAAACTTGTCTACTTCTGTCACAAAAAAGGTTCTTTTTACTCTATAAAGTTCATGTATAAAAAGTATAAACTCTTGCATGCCTAGATTTGGTACCAAATCTACTTCGTGGGTGTCAGATGTACTAGTATAGCAGGGGTGTCAAACTCAATTTCATTGAGCATTGCATCAGCATTGCAGTTTCCCTTGGTGTGTGTGTGCGTGTGCGTGGCCAGGGTGAGTGCAGCCTACTGGGTGGGCATGGCCAGCTCTACATCATTCACATCAAGGGTGCCTGGACAGGAATGGGACAGATCTGAGGATCTCTGGCAGAAGGGGGTGGGACCAGGGCAAATGCCAAGGCATGGTCCACTGGAGGAGCCTCACTGTTCCTCTCAAGCCATGTGGGGGGAGCTGAATGGTGGCATGGGTTGCCCGGAGCCCTGGGCAGCAGAGGTCAAACGCCCAGACTGGCCCTCGAGCACCCTTGGCACCAAGCCCAGCCCCACTTCCCAAGGGGGTGCCCAGCTGCACTTCCTCCTCAAGGCTGCTGCTGATGTGCTTGCTCTCCTTAGCCAGATTGCTCATGATGGGTGTGAGGACGAAATCAGAGGGATGCCCATTCCCTCTCCACGGGAGGAGACCCGGCTTTGTATCCAAAGCTTCCTTCGCAATAGGATGGGAGACCCCAGGATAGGCCAGGAGGAGGGGGCAAGGGCATGGTGAAAGGGCAGCAGGGCAGGACTTCCCTCAGACCTTCCCTCTCCAAGTACAAAAGGGTGGGAAAAATATAGATGAGGGAGAAAAACAGGCAAGAAAGGCAGCTGGGGAAGTGTCGCCCTTCGCATGCACCCAAGGGGCGGGGCCAATGCAGCAGAGCCTGGCTCCTCACTGTTTCCAGGATGGCTTCGTGGGCCACATGAAACCACTTCGTGGGCTGCTTCTGGCCTGTGGGCCTTGTGTTTGACACGTCTGTAGTATAGCAATAGCGCTTAGACTTAACACTGCTTCGGTGCTTTACAGCCCTCTCAAAGGGGTTTACAGATTCAGCCTATAGCCTCAACAACTGGTCATTTTACCGACCTCGGAAAGATGGAGGGCTGAATAAACCTTGAGCCGGTCAGGATCAAACTCCAGGCAGTCGGCAGTCAGCCTGCAACACTGCATTCTAACCACTGGGTGACCCGGGCTCCTTCCCTTAAGAGAGGTTGGCATGTTCTCTGCACCACATGGCCGCTGAGATGCACTATCAAGGCCCAGCAGCCTTTTCTGCAGCAATCCTATTTCCTTGGCGGTTGTTGCTGGCCTAAGCAAGCCTCGCTCGGTGTGCCATTTCTCCACCGGGTCTGTTTCAGTTTTTGCGTTGCTCTTTGTTCTCCCACCCTCCCCCGGGGATTTTTTCCAGGACCCCAACTTCAGACTCCACAGTATTTACAACACGGTGCAGTTACTGGTTTAGCCCTTGTCACCCCAAGCATACCCAACAGCTTTCTTCCCTAGGCTACCACTTAAAAAAGATACCATCCAAAATACAGTTGATTTATTGAAAATAATACCCATTAAAATGTTTATTGAGAATAATTGCTTCAATCTAAGAAGAGCCACCATCACTGATCAAATGAAAGTGAGACGGGTCTTTTTCTGGTTCACCTGCCAGATGTTGAGTTCCTCGTATTCGCTAAGAGCAGCCTGGAACTGGGTGGGGGTGAAGCCCTTCGACACGCAGTGCTGCTCAGCCTCCGTCAGCTGGACGGAGTGAGCTCCCCCGGGAGGAACCAGTTCTCGGATGGCTGCAAAAATCAATTCGGAGGGACGTTGCATCCTGTGGAAGGGGAAAGAAATGAGTTCTCTTGAGTCTCCCTTCTTCCCCAAGCAGCAAATGGCCAGCAATGGCCAGGGATTTTAGAGGGCAAAGCACCCCCCTCCTCACCGACTGGGCTGTCCCCTGTCCACCAAAAGGGAATCTTTAGACATCTCCATCAGGCGCATTGCTTCATTGACATCTTCCTTCTCAACCATCTCCACACGCCTCAGCCGGGCCTAAGCAAGGGAAGGAACGGGAACGCTGTCAATTGGAGCCCAATTCCTCCAAGACGGCTCTAAGGGCTCAGATAAATCTCTGGTCATTGTCCCACGATGGGATTAGTTTATTTCAGCCCATCGCTAGGCGTACTGCAACACACTGACAGCAGCTGAACCATGCCGAGGCAAGAGCGGTCATGGGGGTGGGGGGCTCCTCTGTATCTGGGGGTTTATCATCTTTAGTCTTGGGATACCCCACACTGTCTCAGTAAGTAATCCGAGGGTCCCCTTGCACTTGAGTCCTGCTCGAGCAACTGACAGCAGTTGCAGGTAGGAGGGCCTTGGCTCAACACCCCTTATCTGGATCGGGAAGCCCCAATTCATTGTGAACTGCTGCGACGTGCGCTACCCTTGAGGCGCATCCACGAGCTACAACTGGTGCACAATCAGCCACGCAAACAATCTGGGGCGTCCTAAAAATGGCGCCTTTTGCTATGTTGGCCGCATTGGATGCTGGTCTCCTCCCAGGTCCAAATCAAGGTGTTGGCTATGTCCTTCAAAGTCCTGCGTGGCAGGTGGCCAGTTTACCTGAAGAACCATCTTATCCCCATCACATCAATCCACCCCGCCAGTCAGGCGTGTCACGGGCCCCTTCGGTGAAAGGATTGCAAACTGGCAGGGTCCATGGAGAGATCCTTCTCTGCCTTTGCCCCAGAGTTGAGGTGACCCCCACCCTCCTGCCCTTTGGGAAGACGTGGCTCTGCCAACTCAGGTGGGGCAGGAAGAGGGGCACGCAGCCCTGGAAGTGGCTCGCACCCTGAAGGCGCTCCCGCTGTGCCTTTTAACTTTTTATTCATTTTACTTGTATTTTTACTTGGCTCATTTTACTTGGTACGTATTGTATTTTTATATTTTTTAGGCTTTTATTTGTGAAGCCAGACCCCCTCTGATGGGTAGATGGGTAATATCTAAATTTGATTAAAATAAGTAAAATAAACAGTTCTGAAACATGGTTAGGAACCTGCAATTTCTATCTCATTATAAGCAAGTTGACACAGAGGATCAATGTTAATGGACGGGTTCTAGGTAAGGCCAAGCTTATTAGAGCAAACTGGGTTATGGTGGGTCACACTGGGGAAGTAGCCAAGGAGAGGAACCATTGGCAAGTAGCCAAGGAGAGGAACCATTGGCAAGAGTTTCCATTCTGTTTGGAACTCAACACAGGAGGTTCTCAGCAACGGCTTTAATTGGGGATCAGGATCTCCATCAATCAGTGGCCGGGTCATAAAGCGGGGACGTCACACGACCGTGCTGGCTATGATGGCAGGGCTGCCAGTTCCACTTGCCACTGATGGACAGATCCCAAGCGGTCCTTAAGGGTGGCGTCAGGGATCCCTATTTGTGACCTGCTGGCTTCCCCTTTGTCTTTGCTAGTCAGAAGCCGGCAGTGGAGATCACAGGGACACAACTGCGGAGTGTTGTGACATTGTGATTTCAAGCTAGCTGCCAAGCACCCGAGTCGTGATCACGTGGCAGCGAGAATGCTGCGACGGCCACAACCACAATAAGTAGTCCTCATTCAGTGCGGTCTCGACTGGTTGCTGAGCCAGCGATTGCAGAACAAGGAGTGCCAGCCACTGACTTCACTCGTATCTTCCATGGACACAAACAGTTCATGGAACGTTCTCTGGATTTTGGTCCTAGTTTGACGTAGCAAAGATAAAATATTTTGTAAATGTAAAGAATTGACTCAATGAAGCTAAAAGGCATGGCTACTTCTGTATAAGTTTAAATATACAAGGCTAAATTGAAACAGCATTTAGGCAGGAAAGGAAAACGTTCCATGCACCCTTTGCTGCACTGGCGGCACTCCCAAGTACAGGTAGTCCTCTCGTACCTCAAATAATCTCCTACGGCTCCCATGCTCGTTAAGGTGCATGCAGCTCATTAAGTGAACATGAGGTATCTCAGGGTGGAGAAAGCCACGGAGTGCCTAGTGATAGAACAGGCCCCAAGGCCTCCCCCAACCCACTAAGATACTGCATGCTGGAAAGAAAAGATGGAGCTTGGATCAGGGTGTCAGAGGCCTTTTCCAGACTGCTGCCACCCAGGAACAGGCTGCTGGAGGGGCGCAGAAGCGTCCCCCTGGCCTCAGATCGGAGCGGCAGTGGCCTAGAAAAGGCCTCCAATGTCCTGATCCCACTTCTGGAGGCATGTGGAAGTGTCCCTCGGCTTCAGTTCCATTCTCTGTTGCAGAGAACAGAGGCCTAAAGTACCATGATATCACGGCCCACTGATCTCATGTGATCTTGCGTTACTTTAGGTCTCCATTCTCTGTGAACGCCGCCCAAAAAAATCGAAGGATCTCGATCTTTGCAGGGCGAGTATTGAAGGCCTAGTAGTGCCTAGGGAGACCCAGGGTGGGGGTGGGGAGGAAGGGAATAACCAGGGTGAATGTTGCAGTGCCACTGCGGTCTCTCATAAGGGCGAACGATTGCTGTGGTGAGGCAAC